TGCTTCTAGCCTCGTCCCCATGGGCTTATACAGGCTCACAGACAATAGTGGCCCAGAGCCAAAGTGTTACATAGCAGACTTGTGGGCAGCCAGCTAAGCAGGTGCACCTGTCAGTTACCATGACACCAGTTACCATAGAGAGAGATAGGGACAAGAGTGCAAGCCTCAGGTCCCAATTCTACACATGCAAGGAGTATACATAGGGTGTGGAATATCACATCCAGTACAAGATACAGTAGCAAGCTGTAAGATGTAACAGAATACTACAACCCTGATTGGGCTTTATTGCATTGCTCATAGACTGAAGTCTCTACAAGGGTCCAAGTGTAGTTTAATAACCATGTCCAGTGTGGTCAGTGGCCATGATTACCTCCCAGGGCTGCCCAACTGCAAAGCTGACATACAACTGCACATTCGATAGGCTGACCAGTTGGTCCCTGTTGCACAGGTGTCCAGGCCCCCAAGGTGGTTGTATTTGCCATGCTGTTTCCATTTTGATTAGGGCGAAAGTCCAATAAAATCTATTTGCCAGCTCTCAAGGGCTCATCAAAATAAACATGGCTTTAAATCTGTAAGAGTTCATACCAAGTCATGTTAAATCATGATGTAAGGTGGTGCTAGGATGCAGCTGCGAGGCTGACTGCACGAAAACATTGATTGTCCAGGGTTTAGCCCCAAAAGCAGAACCCTGCCTACCCCTGTACATAATAAGTGGGTAAATTCAGAATCCCTCAATAACCCTGAAAGTTTATCATTGTCCTCTCCACCAGGGGAACCTTCCATTATAGTTGCCAGGTGGTGTCCTGTGTTAGATGTAGCCTAAGGGGTGGCAACATCTCCTTCCAGGGCCTGTGTGGTGGGTTTTTTTTCTTTCTTTTTTTCCTCTGTCTCCATCTCCTATCAGCTATGGCATCTGCTCTCTGCCTCTCACAGGCTGTTCTTGGGCTCCAGCAGTTGCAACATCACCACTAGGTTTTAGATCTCGTCTTTCGGGGGATCACGGTCCACTGCCCTATGAAGAACTGAAAGCCTGGGCACGCTTCACCATAGGTGTTGTGGTTGTGTGCCCAGTAGCTTTCCCCAGGAGAGTGCTTAGCCTTGCTGTACCCCTCAGCATTTGCCTGGGTCTGTCCATGTTATTGCCATTGCAGCTGCAGTCCACTCCCCACCATGGAAAGGCAGTGGTGTGGTGCTGGCTGAAGCTCACCTTTTCTGCAATCCTAGGTTTCCATCTGAAGCCATTGTTACAGCCTCCTGCAGATATGGCCATCACTGTGTTCATTGTCAAGGAGAGGCCAGCCAACAGCACCTGCATAGCTGACTGGCCTGGCCCTACTGGATAGAGATGATGCTGCAAGCCTGGGTGCTTGATTCCTGGAATCTAAAAGGGGCTATTGCCATGTGTCTCATGGCAGGGATGGGGTCATTTGGGATAGGATAGGATAGGACTTCCCTTCCTTCTGCCCACAAATGATCCCAAAGGCCTGCGGCTTCTAACTTAAAGGTGGCGGAACCAATCCCAGCAGGTGTCCTGACCCCAGGCTTTACATACCCTCACAAACTCCCAGCAGCTGTTTTGGTAGCAGGGTAATTTTCAGTGCTTTTGGTCTTTGGCTGCTTCCCCAGGAGCTGGAGTCCCTCTACCTACCACTCGATTTGGGCAGCCTCAGTCTAGGTCTCATTTCTGTGCCTGCACCACTGTGGCGGTCTCTCCAATCCTCCAGCCCTTCCTCAGATGGCCCAGGAGAGTGCATGGCCTTGCATTGGAGCTCTTCATGGCTGCTCTCAAGGTTGCCTTTTTCCATTTTCTTCCATGAGGTGTGAGATTTGCTTTTCAGGTATCTGCTTACAGCTCAGTAGTATCCTTGGGCCACAAAGCAGTGAGAAGGTCCCAACCCACATATGAGCCATCGTCTGGGTGTTCCTACTTTGCCTCCTCTTCAGCATTCAGCAGGCCCCGTTGGGTCTCAGCCTGTGCTGCAGCATTGCCTCCTGCCCATGAGGCACTTAGGAGAATGCACTTGAGACCCCTGCTGCTATCTGGGCGTTATCTTGCTTAGATGTCTTCCCAAGCCCACCCAGTGCTGTCTAGACAACTGGAGGAGTCGTCTTCTCCAGCCCACTCTTGTAGGGAGGGGGTTCCTTAGCCCTCAAGGTCAAAGCCACTGAGCTCCATGTAGTTGTGGCTGTCCACTTCCAAGTTCTACCCACTGACTCCATACTGCACTTGAAAGAATCTTAATGACTATGACAAGCTGTATGCTCAGGATATACAACTTAGTTGTAGATTTGTATCTTTTACTCATAGTGGTGGTGAGAAATATGCAACAACCACTTGCCCCCAACTGTAATGGAGTTATAGGAGCTCTCAGCCTTTGTGTCTGTGGCAGTGGTTGAACACATACACAGAGATAACTACATATATATGCAGCCACACATCCACAAGCAGCTGCATCTAGCATGCAACCCCCCTCCTGCCAGTTGCTTATATGAGCCCATAGACAACAGTTGCCCAGGGCCAAACTATTATATAACAGACTTGTGGGCAGCATGCCAAGTAGGTGGATATGTCGATTACCATGACACCAGTTACCAGAGAGAGAGAGAGAGAGAGATGGGAGCATAGATTGAAGGTGTGAAAACTTGATAACTTTGTTTTCCTAAGTTCATCTCAACATTCCCCATCAACTGGATGGAAATGTGAGCTATTATATTTCTGGCTCCCAATAGCAGTGGCTAGTTATGAAAACTACTTTGTTTCCTAGATCTTAGGCAATGAAATGATGACCAGAGTCTCAAAATTTGGGCAGATGCAGGTGTTATTGGAAAGGCGTGTCTATGTGAAGACTTCATGCAAATAGGAAATTCATGATTTCAAGTTTGAGATGTGTAATGCATACATACGGTAACCATTCAAAATGCGTAAAAAGGTTTTAGGCAAAAGATAAGCAACCTTTGCTTTGATGTTTACGTCACACAGTAGCTCACCTAGCTGTGTATCCTTCCAGAGAAGATACTGGTCATATGCAGATATGCATTTGGCACATACGCACCCATTCCCGGCACATTTGAACGCCCCAACTAGCTAATCACCAGATTTAGGCTCGTGGGTCAAAGCATAGACTTTTCAAGGTTGACGCTCACACACGGGACTTGGAGTAGAAGAACTCGACAGTTCTCCCCTGAGACCACGTGGTGCGGCTTCCCAATCCCCGTCTCTCCCCTAGTGGAGACTGTCCTGCAACCACTCTCAACCACGCGTCAAGACCGCCACCTTTGGGACAATTTGCGCGCCAACTGCGACTCCCAGAAGGCTCTGGGGCATGGGCGGGGCGTGCGGCAAAGAGCAGGGCTTTTCCTGGGCGTTTTACGACCCAGGACTACATTTCCCATAGGGTACTGCGATCCTAGCTCTTTTAGCTCGGGCTACACTGCCTAGAGGAAACTGTGAAAACCTCGCAGGGTCGGTTCCGTTTCCGTTCCCTCTAGTTGATCTTTTGGCTTGAATGAGTCTCCCTGGAGGCCGATTCGACGTCGCGGGTGGCGGAGAGAACTGAGGTGGCCCGGGACTGCAGCCCACGAGGGACCGTGCGTGGCGGTCAGAGGGGACATTGCGGGGACGCCGGGGTCCGAGCGCAGTCACGGCGTGTCTGCTCGCCCCCTACACCCCACGCACGGTGGGGCTGCCGAGGACGGTGTGTCTGAGGTGAGAGGCTGTGCTGAGGTGACAGCGTGACTGACATGAAGAGGTGCAGGCTAGTCCGATGTCACCGGGACGTGGTAACGCGTCCCTGGCGTGAGCGCGCGTGGCCGTGGCTCTGCCCAGCGTGCAAGGCTCGCTGCTGCTACTCTCGCCCTCCTTTCAGCCACCAAAGAAAATGTCGTTAACTGGGAAAAGTAGTTTAAGTATGATCGCTGTGTAGTGTTCTTGAGAGTCTGTTTCTGCACATTAGGAAAGTTGTTTTAAAACTCGGTGACCTGGAGACAAGCTTTCAGAAATGCGCATTTCGAGTTCTAAGGTTGCTCTCCGAGAAATGACAACCGTGTCTGATGCCCAGGTGTGTGGTGTATTTCTACCCACTTAGGTCCTCTTAGACCAAGATCCTCCATCTTACCACATTTTGTTCTTTGATCTATCATGCTAGCGAAGTTTTTCCTGGCTTTTGGCATTGCTGATGACTGAGGGAGGGGAGATTTATTCGTGCTGTGTTTCTCATCTTCTCCCAGATATACACTGGTGTTACCAGGAAGAAAAAAAAATCCAGGAAACTCAGATTTTATATTAAAGAAAAAAGAAAGCAGAATTAACTTCACTGTATGGTAGAGGATAAAGGAACATGGAATGATTTTCACCATTAATAATGATAATTGACAGTAATCAGCACATCACACTGCTCATATGGATGATTTTACTTGTGGAAACCACCATATGCTGTAGGTAATATTCTCCCGCCATTTAATTTGGATCATAGTTGTTATTAGTCCTGGCATTGTACATTATGATACAGCATGCTATAATGTTTAATATGTTGCTGTTGTAAGAGATTTATGTTTTTGATGATCAAAATTAAAAATAATGCTCATTCTAAAAGTATTGTACATACATCTTAAATTTTTTTTAAAGATTTACCTTTTTTTGCAAGAACCTCAGAGCATACCCTACATCTGGGACCTGGGGAGGGTGGGAAATTGGGTGGGCCTTCTCCCTTAATACTCCCCTTTAAACATGAAGGAAACAATATGGAAAAAATAATAGTTTTACCCACTTTCCTGTAGCCCTTGAACCTTTTTACCCTAATTAATTATATAAAGATTGTCAAAATATAATAAAAAATGTAAAAAAAAAAGTTTACAGAGAGAAGGAAAGGCAAAGATCTTCTGTCTGGTTCACTTCCTGGTCTGCAGGATCCCAAGGCTTTGAGCCATTCTCCACTGCTTTCTCAGGCCACAGGCAGGGAGCTGGATGGAAAGTGAAGCAGTCGAGGTTTGAACCGGCGTACATGTGGGATCCTGGTGCATGCAAGGTAAGGACTTCAGCCATTAAGCTACTGTACCAGGCCCTCTTTTTCCTTTTCTTTTTTTTTTTTTTTTCTTTTTAAAGATTTATTATTTTTTTATTGGAAAGGTGGATATACAGAGAGGAGAGACAGACAGGAAGATCTTCCATCTGATGATTCACTCCCCAAGTGAGCACAACGGCCAATGCTATGCCGATCCGAAGCCAGGAGCCTCTTCCGGGTCTCCCACGCGGGTGCAGGGTCCCAAAGCTTTGGGCCATCCTCGACTGCTCTCCCGGGCCACAGGCAGGGAGCTGGAAGGGAAGCAGGGCTGCCGGGATAGAACCGGCACCCATATGGGATCCCGGGCGTGCAAGGTGAGGACCTTAACCACTTGCGCCACCGTGCCGGGCCCTCTTTTTTTTTTTTTTAAGATCTGTTTACATTTAGTCGAAAGGTAGGTTTTACAGAGAGAGAGAAGGAGAAACTGAGAGAAGTCATACATCTGCTGCTTCACTCCCAAATGGCCACAATGGCTGGAGCTGAGCTGATCAGGAGCCAGGAACTTCTTTCTGGGTCTCCCAGGTGAGTGAAGGAGCCCAAGAACCTGGGCCATTCTTCATGGCTTTCCCAGGTCATTAGCAGGAAATGAGACCAGAAATGGAGCAGCCACGACTTAAAACTGTGCCCCTATGGAAGCTGGATCTGCAGTGGAGGGTTTGCCACTGGGATGGCTCCATATAGTTCTGAAAAATTCCTGGATATGGAATGTCGGTGCCAAGGCTAAGCCTCCTATATATCAAGGTAAAATATGAATAGGATTAAGTCTCAGACTGTATGATGAAGGCTACTGCAGAGGCTTGGGTAACTACCTTGTGAGTTTACTAGAAAGGTATATTAATTTTGCTCATAGCAATAGTGAGGTTATGAACAAATTATATCAATTCTGAGGAAATTATGGCAGTAAATGGATTCTGTACGATAACTTGTGCTTCAAGATTTGCCTTCTGGGCCTGAAGTGGTAGCCTAGTGGCTAAAGTGGTAGCCTTGTCTGTGCCAGGATCCCATATGGGCATCAGTTCATATCCTGACTGCTCCATTTCCCATCCAGCTCTCTGCCTGTGGCTTGGGAATGCAGTAAAGGACGGTCCATAGCTTTGGGACCCTGCATGCACATGGGAGACCTGGAAGAAGCTCCTGGCTTCAGATGGGTTCAGCTCTGGCCATTGAGGCCGCTTTGGGAGTGAACCAGCGGATGGAAGATGTTTCTGTCACTCCTTCTCTCTGTATGTCTGATTTTCCAATAGAAATAAATAAATTTAAAAAAGAAAAGATTTGCCTTCGATTGTCATGTAGCAAAATGAGCCTAATAGGATAATGTAATTCAGAATCTGAGGGAGGCTTAGCTGACTTGTTTAGAAACAAATCTTTCTGCCGAAAAAAAATCTTGGAATAAAATTGTATGGGATATCATCATGCATTTATGGAAGAGATGACTCAGATATGACCATGTTTTCTATTTTCTAGACAGAACTCTTTCCTACTGATAAGAAATCATTTAGTTCAGAAATAATAGCCAAAGAACAAATGATTCTCGGGAAGCACCCTTCTTTTTGGAGAACATCTTGTTAAAAACAACATATATTTCAATTTAATCTGTGGTCGTTATCATAACTCTTAAGAAAAAAAGAGTTTTTTTTCCCCAAACATTGACAGACTTTATTATGGGAGGTGGCCCACCTGGGACCCCACCCTCTTAAATAAAGAAGTGCATAGAAAAGAAGGGCTTTAGAAACCTTTGTACAATATGATGAAGGAAGGACTGAGAGAGAGAAAATTCTTATTTGCTGCTTTACTCCCCAAATGCCTACAATAGCTTGAATTGGGTCAGGCCAAAGGCAAAAGCCAGGAGCTTCATGTGTGTATTTGGGAACTCAAGTATTGGGGTAGTTATCTCCTGCCTCCCTGGCACATTAGCAGGAAGCTGGATTGGAAACTCAGTGTAATCCCGGCATGGTAACCTAGTGGCTAAAGTCCTAACCTTGCATGTACTGGGATCCCATATGGGCACCGGTTTGTATCCCAGCTGCTCCACTTCCATTCCAACTCTCTGCTTTTGGCTTGGGAAAGCAGTTGAGGTTGGCCCAAAGCCTTAGAACCCTTCGCTCGTGTGGGAGACCCAGAAGAAGTTCCTGGCTCCTGGCTTCAGATCTGCTCAGCTCTGGCCGTTGCAGCTACTTGGGGAGTCAATCAGCAGATGGAAGATCTTCCTCTCTGTCTCTCCTCCTCTCCATGTATCTGACTCTTCAATAACAAAACAAAACAAATCAAACAAAAAACCTCAGGGTGGCCAGCACTTGAACCAGGCACTGCACTATGGGATGTGAGCATCTCAAGTCATAACTTCATCTGTGGTTCCCTCCTATCACCTGTTTGGCTAGCAGGCTTAGCTAGACCAAAGCGATAAGCATTGCTTTTTCAGTGTCTTAACCAACTTCATGATTCCAGAATCATGTGATTCCAGAATCACAGCAAGCATTCTGATGAAATGCTGGAGCCTCTTTTCACGTCAGGTTAAAAGACCTGCTCAGGATAAGAGTCTAGTGCCCAATTTCAGGTGTCCACCAAAGTGACTCAGGGACCAGAGAACTTCCTGCCAGCAGATCTGTCTTTAATGCAGAAATGCCTCAGTCTAATGTAGGAATCCCTGCAAATTAGAGAAGCAGGTAGATTATTCTCGATCCTTAATCTATCCAAAGAGTGTATGTGATAAGAAGTATTTGGGAACCTGGAATGGAAGATTGTCACACCAATAGGTATAACTTAGTTTCTGTCCAGAACACTAAAGCAAAACTGGTCCTAAGGTCTTTTTCTTCTCCCAGCTCTGGCAGTCTGGATCTGTGCTTATCTGGAGAGGAACCCTGAGAACAGACTCTTCCATGTCTAAAACCATGGCTCTTGTAAGTTGATGTTTCTCTTCTTGTTGAAATATGTGCATGTGTTTAAGTCATGTAAGTATTCCTGTTAGGTTTCCTACCAAAAAGTATCCGTCCAATGAGCAGTTTCTACTGCTGCTGCTCCCAGTGAACTATAATGGCAAATGATCCAGCATCCTTCTGTGACCCTTTTGAAACATAGCAGTGTTCACACACTGATCAAATACTTCATGTGTTGCACGCTCATTCTATCAAGCACTGTGGTTAAGTTCTTTGAAATCAAGGTTGATGCCTTTAGTTTGGTGAGATTGAGGCACTGATTTTATTTGACCCTCTGTGATGAAACTTAAGTTTTCACACAGACTTGACATTTCCAGGTAAAGAAGATAAAAATTTAGTATTGGTTGAATGACCAAATCTCGTCATAGATTGGCATCTTGTGATTTGTATGAATTGGTGGGTGATTGGGACTTGCAAACTGAGAGGCTGTAAATCTTGGCAAGAAATCCCTGGGAGAGAAGTGACATGATAATTGTTGGTAAAAAGGGATATTTATGTAACTTGTCTTCCTTCCTCAGAATTCTTGTACGCAGTACATTTTTATCTTTTTATTGCATAATAAACTGCTTTAAAACCTAGTGATTTAAAACAGAAAATATTTGTCTCACATTTTTTTTCATTTTTTAATTATTATCATTTTATGATGTAGTTACATAGGCCCTGGGATTTTTCTTACCTCCTCCCCAATTAACCCCACCACCACTGAGTTCCCCTATATTATTACAGTGGTATCATTCTTCATAAACAGTCATAAGTCCATCATTGTGGGCATAGACAATGGCAGAGAGTCCAGCATCCCATTGTCAAGACAGAGCAAATAGTTTCATTGGGAGTCCATCTTTGATCTGGAAGTAGAGATGCATATAGCATTCTATCCTCACATCGGGATATGGTGTTCTCCATTACTGAGATATAGTTACTATACATCTTAAATGTAAAGCCAAAAAGCAAAATAAGCAACAGGAAGAAAAAAGGAATTTACAATGTCGTGAAATTAAATAATATGCTACTGAATTACTAATGTGTCACAGAAGAAATGAAAATCTGGCCTGGTGCAGTAGCACAGCAGCTAAAGTCGTGGCCTTGAACACGCTAGCATCCCATATGGGCGCTGGTTTTAATTCCGGCAGCCCTGCTTCCTATCCAACTCCCTGCCTGTGGCCTGGGAAAGCAGTAAAGGATGGCCCAAAGCCTTGGGACCCTGCACCTGCGTGGGATCCTTGAAGAAGTTCCTGGCTCCTGTCTTCGGATTGGCTCAGCTCCAGCTGTTGCGGCTGCTTGGGGAGTGAATCATTGGAAAGAAGATCTTCCTCTCTGTCTCTCCTCCTCTGGATATCTGCCTTTCCAATAAAAATAAATAGATCCTTAAAAAAAGAAAGAGAGAAGGAAAATCAAGAACATTCTTAAGAAAATGATGCCACTGTGTGACTATGAATCCGTGAAGAACTTGATATGAGAAAAAAAAACTTTTGAAGAAATTAAACTAAAAACAAAAATATCAAAATCCATAATGTAGTTTCTGCTGATCTTTGTTCGTGAGATGTGTCTCCCGTAGGCAACAAGTACATGAGTTTTCTTTTGTAAATCCAGTTTACTAACCTATGATATTTTATTGATGAGTTTAATCCATTTACATTCAAGGTAAATATAAATGGCTGATAATTTGGTCCTGTCATTTTAGCAATGGGTTCTTCATTGATTTAGTCTTCTGCTGTTATTTTGCTGGGATGTTCTTCACATTTGCCTTTGGTTTTGGTGGGCACTATTCCTTTTCTCTGTCAAGAGAACATCTTTAAGTATCATTTGTAGGACAAGTTTGGAAGAGGTATATTCTTTTAACTTTACTATGAAAGAATTTTATTTCATTTTCAAAGACAAGGAAAGCTTTGCTGGGTACTTTATTCTGGGCTGACAATTTTTTGCTAGAATCTGGAATATGTCGCTGCATTTCCTTCTGGTCTGTAGAATTTCCTGTGAGACGTCTCCTGTGAATTTAATTGGCATTCCTTTATATGTCAGTTGATTTTTTTTTTTTAAGATTTATTTTTTTATTGGAAAGGCGGATATACAGAGAAGAGAGACAGAGACAAAGATCTTCCATCCGATGATTCACTCCCCAAGTGAGCGCAACAGCCAATGCTATGCCAATCCGAAGCCAGGAGCCTCTTCCAGGTCTCCCACATGGGTGCAGGGTCCCAAGGCCTTGGGCTGTCCTCGACTGTTTTCCTGGGCCACAGGCAGGGAGCTGGATGGGAAGCGGGGCTGCCAGGATTAGAACCGGCGCCCATATGGGATCCCAGGCGTGCAAGGCGAGGACCTTAACCACTGTGCCATCACGCCGGGCCCTTGATTTTTTTTAACGGGCACATTTGAGGATCTTTCTTTATGTTTGATTGAAGAGAATTTGATTATCATGTATCTTGGCGAAGATTGCTTTTGGTCAACCCTTTTGGGAGGTTTGTGTTCCTCCTGGATGTTTTTTCCCAATTCTTTCTCTAGAATAGAGAAATTTACCTTTATTATTTCATTAAATACATTAAGTACATTTTGAAACCCAGCTTTTGTTTTGGCACCTTCTGGAGCTCCCATAGCTCTTATATTTGGCCTTTTAATAGTGTCTCTTAATTCTTGAATACTTTTTTTTAGCTTGACCCAGCTCTGCTTCCAGCTTTTTGATTGTTTCCCCATTGTCACAAGAAATATATTCGAATTCTGAGATTCTTTCTTCTGTGTCATTCATTCTATTATAAAGATTTTCCACTGTACTTTAAATTTGCTTTGTTGCATCCCTTATTCCCAAAAATTTGGCTTGATTTTGTTTCAATGTTACTCTTTCCTGTGTGACATATTCCTTAAATTCCTTGAATTCCTGTATGTGCTTCTCATTGTTGATAAGAAAACGTATAATGAGTTTTCTGAATTGTGTATACCCCATTTTCTCGATGTCTTCCTCAGTTAACTCTGAGGTTGGCAAAGGCTTTTGAACCTATGCAGGGGAGTCTTCAGAAATATTCATTGTGCCTCTGTCTCTTCTTTTGCTCTTGGTCATTGTACTTGTGGTTAGCAGATTCTTCTCCTTAGGGTAGATTTCTAAGCTATGGCCCACAGACATACAGTTCGATTCTACTGATTGCAGTTGGTCCCCAGTTCTTTGTTTGCAATCACTTGTGCCACTCCCTGCAGCGAGTTTCAGGTTTGGGCTCTCGTGTTAGACTTCCACCATAGTCTCCGTAGCCCCAGCTCTTGATTCACTGTTTTTCCCTCCTGTGATTTGTGCTGAAGCTGTACCATTGTATTGTTACTACAACCTTCTACCACTTCTGGTTCAAGCAGTTCCCAGGATTAGGGCGATGCCTGGTGTCCTAAATAACTAGGTTGTTGGTGGTACTGATCTTGCTGGAACCTGCTGGCCATTAGGTCTGAGTGCCTTCCAAACCTATTTTGACCAGTAGGATGCCAAAGTCAGTATTATTTTCCTTGTGGGACGAATACAATGCACTGAGCTGGAAGTTAGTGGGCTTCCAGCTCAGCACATGCGTAGCTCATTATTGTCCCTCCAGTCTCATTGCCTTTGCCAACTGTATAAAATAGCACCTGATGTGCCACTTGTTGAGTTCTTGATCTGCTGGCCGTTAAGTCTGGGGGCTACCTGGCCCTTTTAGGTGGAACCTGTAGGATGCCACATTGCCAGTGCAATGCATTCAGCCAGAAATGAGTTCTGTCCCAGCTTAGTACATACACAGTCCTGTCTCATGGCCTTTCCCTCGCTACGCAAAATGGCATCCATTGCGGCTCTTGTGGGAATCTGGTTGTGAAATCCATCCTGTTCCTGCACCACCTGCTTGGGATCTGCTCTCTCGCTGCTCCTGGTCAAATCAAACAAATCAGGACTAGCAGTTCTTTGCCTATGTTCACCTACTGAGCTTCTCATGAACTCCCCTTCCTACTTGGTTACTGGTGGAGCTCTGGCTGCTGGTGCAGATTGCTGCTGGCAGAATGATGCTGGGATATGTGGTCACTGCAACAGCACACCATTGTTTCCACTGCTTCCCTGTGTCTCAGTCTCCAGGTGCCTCTCCTGTTTCCTGGAATGTGCCCTCTCTGCTTCACCCTGGCTAATGTTTCGCTGTCTAAATGTGTCCTTACCCTATTCTGCCATCTTGATTCCTTATCTCACAATTTTTGTGGGTCAGAAATGCAGACACGGCCTCTCTTGTTTCTCTGGCTGTCGGTGTCCTGCACAGTGTTTGCTAAGGTCATTAATCATCGTAAGGCCTAGCTTTGAGTGGATCTGCTTTCAAGCTCACTCCCTGTAGTTAATAGAGTTCTTTTCCTCTCTGGCTTATTGGACAGAGAGTTCCTTGTTAGCTACTGATTGTAGAGCACTCTTGGCTTATGTTTATGTGGATCTGTCAGTAAAATAGCTTAAAACACAGTACCTACTGTCCTAAGACCCCAAGAGGGAAAGAAATATGGAAATAAGGAATTTCTAGACCTTTACATCCTTATATTGCAGGTAATATTTGCACACTTTAGCTGTTCTGCTTGTTGAAAGGAAAGAGTTCAACCTGAATGTAAGTGAAGGAGATCTCAGAAATGTATAATAAAAGAAGAGAAGAGGATCTTTGGTAATCTACCTTGAAGTTGCCTGTAACACTCAATTTATGCCTGTGTTCAGTGGAGATGGTGAATGTATATATATGTGTATATATATATATATATGTCATTTGTTGCAGTAGTTCGGGGTGGGGAATGTTTTTCTGCCACAGGCAATTTGGATATTTATGACATGATTCCTAGGTAATAGATAATCACCTACTTAACTAGACTGCCACAGAGTTTTTGAATTTTGAGTCTTGCCTGCTGTTGCCTTACTAGGATTTTGCCAGCCTTCTATGGCCACATGCCAGACACTCCTCACCTCTGCAGTAGATGGACATAGGATGCTGGGCTTGCAGGAGAACTTAGAAACATGCATCCTAACTGCATAAGTTATTCAATCTGGCACATCCATAAAATAGAATTTCATGTGCCAACAAATACATAAATTTGTAAAACACACAAAAAAAGCTGCTTATAGTGAAACAGTTAATGCTTGAGACAGTTATTTTATGCCAACAAAATAGTTTTAAAAATTGAGTTTATACCACATTGTGAAAAACATGTGATATATTTTTTTCTGTTCTAAAAACAAAAATTTTCAGCAGCAGTTCATATTCAGTGAAATTAATTTCCACAGTTTATTTGAGGTGTAGAAATAAAGAGCGACAGCGACAGAGCTTAACATCTCCCACCCAGTGACTCAGTGCCCAAATGCTGGCAAGGTAGAACAGGGTCGGGAGGAGCCAGGCCTAACCCTGCCTTTCCCAAGTGGGTGGCAGGGATCCCAACTACTTGAGGAGTCCCCTGCTGCTTCCCAGGGTGTGCATTAGCAGGAGGCTGAAATCAGGAGAGGACCTGGGACTGTCACCCAGGTACTCTGGCATGCGGTGTAGCCATCCCAAGCAGCATTTTAACTGTCAGGCTAGACACCCACCCCAGTAAAAAGAAAAAATCGTATGGTACGTACCAATTAGGCAGGATGCTTGCATTAACTGTTTAACATGTAAACATTGTCCTTTCTATCCCCAGATGGTTCAGACATTGAAGGATGTGCCATTCATTCCCCTTGCTCTCCCTCTGTGGCCTGTGCTGCCTTCCTGTGCACCCGTCTTGTAAACAGCCTTCTATTTCTCTAATCATTCCTGATTTTTTTTTTTTTAATTTCAGGGATCAGTGACGTTTAGGGATCTTGCCATAGACTTTTGTCAGCAAGAATGGGAATGTCTCGACCTTACTCAGAAAACCTTGTACCGGGATGTGATGATGGAGAACTATGCTAACTTGCTCTCCCTAGGTATGTTTTCTATCTCAAATAGTTTATGATACTTCAGAATCTTTTCTCTAAGGATTTGCATTTCATTCTGCTCTTTTTCAAGGCTGCCTTCTAGGAAGATAGATTTCTTTTCCATATTTTAATTAGTTGTCATTTACTTGGAGAACAAGGAGAAGATATTGTGTGCACTGCTTCGCTCCTCAGTGCACACAATAGCCAGGGCTGAGGCAGGCTGAGGGTTGGAGCCCAGAACCTGCTGGCTCCCCCATGTGAGTAGTAAGAGCCCAAGCACTTGCACCGTCATCTGCTGCCTCTTGGGATGCATTAACGGGAATTTGGATAAAAAGCAGTGTGTCTGGAACTTGATCTGGCACTCTGATAAATGGGATGCAGGTGCCCCAGGTGGCAGTTTAACATGCTGTACCACAATTTCCTCTTCCCTTTGTGCCAAAGTAATTTGAGTTTTATTACGTTAGAAATGCCAGCACCATTGAAGACATTCACCTCCCCTTTCAGTGTTGTTCATACCTAATCTGTTTCTCCTTGGAGTTGCCTGTCACATTTATGAAAAAGAGCTACATTAGGATACTGTGGTATTTACAAGGGTACTTAAAAGTTCATGATAGGAGTCGGCATTCTAGCACAATGGGATAAGCCATGTGAGTGCCAGTTCAAGTTCCTGCTGCCGAGCTTCTGGTCTCACTTCTTGCCAGCAAGCCTGGGAAAAGACCAGAATATCTGGGTTCTTGCCACACACATGAGAGAGCAGGAGGGACTTCCAGGAGCCTGGCTTCAGCTCGCTCCAGCGCCAGCTTGGGGAATGAACCAGTCGATGCAAGATCTCTCACGCTCGTTCTCCTTCCTCTCTCTCTCTTTCAGTAAATAAATAGTAAATCTTGTTAGAAACTAGATCATGAAAAATGTGTATTATGTGTGGATTTCAAGCCTCATTTTTTTTTAACCAAAACAAATTTCTAAGAGTTTGGTTTTCACATACTCTTCTTGAAGTACCATTATATTGTACAACTATTATCAAAGCATTCATGTTTCCTGTTTGTTGATAGTCAGAATTAGTGTGGCTGTTCTATTATATAATCTTATCCATTTGCAGGGAGAGCACCTTGACAGAGGAATTGCTGCAATTCCTGAATTACTCCAATTATGGCAAGAAGCTGCATTATTTATATGTTATGGTGGATTGGATTAAAGAAATTCATTTAAACACAAGACTAATTTATAAACATTACATTTAAAATGGACTGAATATTCTGTAGGGATTTTCCTTGTGTGCTGTTAGTCAAACAACAATATTAGTAATAGTGTTAATAATTAGCATTGTGTTACTATAGGTAAAGTTATATAGGTATGGTTTATTTCTTTTTTTAAAAAGATGTGTTTCTTTTTATTGGAAAGGCAGATTTGCAGAGAGGAGAGACAGAGAAAGATCTTCCATCCGCTGATTCAGTCCCCAGGTGGCTGCAGCAGTCAGAGCTGAGCTGATTACCCCACAACCTTATTGTTATCCCCATTTTCCAAGTGAGAACTGTGGAGCACAGTGAGCAGAAGTGGTGAAGGTGAAAACTGGTACCAGAAACTGCAGTCTGAAGTCCAGCATCATGGGGGCCAACAAGGAAAAGATGGAGACATAAACGCTTGCTTAAACAGTAATAATATCATAATAAAAACTTTACCATGCTTAACTGATTTCCTTTTCTTTAACTTCCTTTCTCCAAAATCTTAATTTATTGTCATTGTAACTAAAAGTGTCTTTCTGTGTCACGTTGCATAGCTTGTTTCTTTATAAACAGGATATCCCATTTCTAAGCCTGATGTAATCACATTGTTGGAGGAAGGAAAAGAGCCCTGGAAGATTGTGAAGGAAGAAACGAGAAGATGGTGTATTGGTAAGTAAGAGTAAATCCGACTGTGGTTAACCGTCTGTGAGGGTAAGAGCCCAGGTGGTGCAGGAAGGAGCACATCCTGGGAATATTATTGCCTGGGAATCTGCATTTGGAATACAGAAAATGCTTGTGATCCAGAGGAGATAAAGACACGAGCTACCCAGTCAGCTTCCTGCTCTTCTGAATGAATCACGCGAGTTTTCAGTCCCTGATTTCTCTTGCAGTTCAGTGGTGATCACTGTTCCTCGCAGCACCACGTTTTACCTGTATCTTAGACCCAGCTGATTTCCAGACTCTCTTCCTCACGTGCTTTCATATGTGTCTCTACATTGTCTAAAACTAAACTCATCCTTACATATGACAAAGTCGAAGGAACAGTATATTAGGGGAGACACTAAAGAAATATATGAATAAACACAGAAATGATATCAGGTAATGAAATATACTATGAAGCAAACTATAATCGGACAAGGCAGATACAGGTGAGGTGAGCTGATTGTGAGCCGTTTTCGAAGGCTATTTCAGCAGAAAGGTGAGGGCTGTTTCAATATACGAGGATGATAACGCCAACAAAGTGAAAACAAATAGAAGGGCCCTAATGAACTAATTAGCATATTTTTTAGGTTTTGAAAGTATATATATTTATTTGAAATGGTGAGTGAGAGAGTGAGACAGATAGGGAATAGAGAAATCTTCTACCTGCTGATCCACTCCTTAAATGACCACAGGAGCTGGGACTTGCCCAGGTGGAAGCCAAGAGCCAGGAACTTCATCTGGATCTCCCACATAAGTGGCAAGAACCCCAAATACTTAGGCCTTCGTCTGCTGTCTCTCAGGTGCTTCTAATACACGAGCTTTCCAGTAAAACTTCACTTGAATTAATTGCTCATATTTTCAATCTCATATTTCCATTCCAATTTCTTTCAGTCTTTTCTTTTTCTTCTTCTTTTTCTTTTTTTAATTAGAAAGCAGATCAGATTTATGGAGAGAGAGAGAAAGAGAAAGGTCTTCCATCTGCTGGTTTACTCCCCAAATAGCTGCAATGGTCAGAACTGAGCCAATGCAAAGCTAGGAGTCTGGAGCTTCTTATGAGTCTTCCATGTAGGAGCAGGGGCCCGAGGCTTTGTGCCATCCCCAACCGCTTTCTCAGGCCACAAAGCAGGGAGCTGGATGGGAAGTAGAGTAGCCAGGACACGAACCAGCACCCATATGGGATCCCAATGCTTGCAAGGTGAAGATTTAGCTATTGAGCCCTTCCAATTTCATTGACATGCATTATTGTTTGTAGTGCAACATCTTACTGATAATCCTGGACACAGCTCATTTCCAGATTCTGTTCTTCATGAGCACCAAGGAAGCTCATGTATTAGAAAGAAGTCAGGGGCCCGGCACGGTGGCGCAAGTGGTTAAGGTCCTCGCCTTGCACGCCCGGGATCCCATATGGGTGCCGGTTCTAATCCCGGTGGCCCTGCTTCCCTTCCAGCTCCCCACCTGTGGCCCAGGAAAGCAGTTGACGGCCCAAAGCTTTGGGACCCTGCACCCAAGTGGGAGACCCGGAAGAGGCTCCTGGCTTCGGATTGGCATAGTATCGACCCGTTGCGCTCACTTGGGGAGTGAATCATCGGACGGAAGATCTTCCTCTCAGTCTCTCCTCTCTGTATATCTGCCTTTCCAATAAAAATAATAAAATGAATATTAAAAAAATAAAAAAGAAAGAAGTCAGATTGAAAATAGAGACTCCATCCCAGGCACTTGGGTATAGGATGTGCGTGTCCCAAGCAGTTGCTTAACATGCTCATATACAGCAACTGCTCCAGGCAAGAATGTTGCATGTTTGAAGAAAGGAGGTAGGTTAGGGTTATTGAAGGATGAGTAACAGTATAGGAAATCAGTAAATTATGAGGGATCAGATCAAACAAAGTGTTGTCATTGATTAATAACTATGACTCTTCCGTGAGCTGATGTAATTTTTTATAGCCATTATCTTAAAAAATTAAGACTTTATTATAAGATATTAAATTCTATAATAGAGACTGATAAGCTATTTCACTTCATTATAGACATTAAGTATTTGCTTTTAAAAAAATTTTTTTGTCGAAATATTAATCTTTTGGATTTATCTTCTTTCTAGGCTAGCATTCTTAATTTTTTTTCTTATACCTATTGTAGTTCTGAGCTCTGTTACTTCCTTTATGAGTTTTATAATTATGATGTTTTTGTGGGTGTTCTTTTAAAAAATTAATTAATTTGAAAGCAGGAGTGACAGAGACCATGGGAGGAAGAGAGAGCAAGATCTTGCATCTACTACTTCACTTCCCAAATAGCAGTAGTCGCATCTGAGGCACAGTGAAGCAAGGAAGCCAGAATTCCATCTGGGTCTCCCATGTGGGAGGCAGGAGCTCAAGTGCTTGGATTATGTTCCACTGCTTTCCCAGGCACATTATCAGAGTTATGGACTGGAAGTAGCGCAGCTGGAACTTAACCAGGCCCTCATATGGGATGCTGGCATCACAGGTGGCAGCTCAACATACTTCATAACTATGTCAACCCCTGTTGTCTCATTTTTCATGGCACTTCTTAAAAATCTTTTTGTGTTGGTTTTATAGAGTATTATAATTTTGCTCTAGTTTGGAAACTGGAAGACTTTTTTCATTATCTGCTATTTTATTCTTATAAGGTCTATTTTATCAGTTGATGTTGGCCCTTTTGTTAGACCTTATAAATCAAATTATTTTACATTCTTTATAATGGAGTCATGGAGTAATATGCTAAATTCATGATTTTGTAGCTCATGTTAATTGTGTTTAAAAATGCTAAAAAGTACATGATATGGGAGAAGACATGGAACTAATAGTAGAAAATTTTGATATACTAGGCAGTTAAATTAGTCTAATCTGGATTATAAAAAATTTAAATGTTGAGTCTGGTGTGGTGGCCTAGCAGCTGAAGTCCTTGCATGTGCTGGAATCCATATGGGCACTGATTCTTTTTTTTTTTTTTTTTTAAGATTTATTTTATTTTTATTGTAAAGTCAGATATACAGAGAGGAGGGGAGACAGAGAGCAGGATATTCCATCTGATGATTCACTCCCCAAGTGACCATACTGGTTGAAGCTGAGCCAGTCCAAAGCCAGGAGCCAGGAGCTTCTTCTAGGTCTCCCACACAGGTGCAGGGTCCCAAGGCTTTGGGCCATCCTTGACTGCTTTCCCAGGATACAGGCAAGGAGCTGGATGGGAAGCAGGGCTGCCCGGATTAAAACCAGCGCCCATATGGGATGCTAGCATGTTCAAGGCCAGGACTTTGGCCGCTAGACCACCATGTCCGGCCCTGGGTTCCGGTTCTAATCCCGGCGGCCCTGGGTTCCGGTTCTAATCCCGGCAGCCCCGCTTCCCATACAGTTCCCTGCTTGTATCCTGGGAAAGCAGTCAAGGATGGCCCAAAGCCTTGGGACCTATATTGTCTATAAAGTCCAACTTGAATACTACCTCTGTGTCCATCAAGTACACTGCTCCCTCTGTGATTTCCCTCCTACTATAAACAATTACAGAAAATACAGTTTTTAGTTTCCGCTTTGTTCTTACGTGGCTTCCTTTTTCTTTAGTAATATTTTCTATTATTTCAGTCATTAAGAATACATGAATGCACACACCCTTCCCTCCATCCTTATTTGGTTCTTTGTAGATTGAATGATTTGGGTTTTGTCAGACATATTGTGTGTGTGTGTGTGTGTGTGTGTGTGTGTGTGTGTGTGTGTGTGTGTGTGATTTCTGCATTATATTCACTCCTCTTGAAAATATTGCTAGCTAGCTTTTACGTTAATACTTTTTGTTTTAAGAAGCAAAGCAGTCGGATTTTAAGATATATATTTCTTTGCAGGCAGTGGTTTAATTCTATGTTTGATTTTTGGTTAAGATTTATTTATTTTAATTGAAAAGGCAGCTTTACAGAGACAGGAGAGACAGAAAGATCTTCCATCCACTGGTTCACTCCTCAAGTGGCCGCAATGGCGGGAGATGAGCCGATCTGAAACCAGGAGCCAGGAGCTGTTTCTGGGTCTCCCATATGGGTGTAGGGTCCCAAGGCTTTGGTCCAGCCTTCACTGCTTTCCCGGGCCATCAGGCCACAAACAGGGATCTGGATAGGAAGTAAAGCAGCTGGGTCACAAATTGGCACCCATATGGAATCCCAGCACTTGCAAGGTGAGAATTTAGTGGTTGAACCATCGTGCTGTCCTCTCTCCTTCCCCTCAGTTTGTTTTTTTTCAATGCTTTGCTACTTTGGATTGTGTCTTTCCCATGCACATTAAATTTAGCATTAAACTAAGGCTTGTTTTTCATATTTCTTTTACAAGGTATGAGATGATTATATCTAAAACTAGGAAATCTTGAATGTTTTTCTCCATAATGCCACCTCACTTTCCAGTTGGATGGTGCTTCTTACCTTCATGTTTGTAGCAAGAAATGCATTGGAGCTTTTGCTGCCCGTTCTTCCTGCACAGCATTGCCCTTGGAACAAAGCCCTGAGTGTTATAAAAAACAGTAAGAGGCTAAGGCCAGATCACTTTTTAGGGTTTTGGCTTCTCTCTGTAGACCTCCTGTTTTGTTTACTCTTAATTGCTAATATCAGGTAGTTGATTTATCTCATCAAGCCTTTTTAGTTTATGTTATTCAGAGATGGATTTTAAAAAAAAAATTATTTTTACTTCTTTGAAAGGCAGGGTTGCAAAGAGAGGGAGAGACAGAGACCTTCAGCTGTTTCACTCCTTAAATAACCATAATAATTGGGTGTATGCCAGGCTAAAGCCTGGATCCTGGAACTCCATCGTGGTCTCCCGTATGGATGGCAGTCCCAGGAACTTGAGTCATCCTCAGTTGCTTTCCCAGATGCATTATCACAGTTGGATCAGTAATAGAGCAACAGGATTTAAACCTGGGCTCCCATGGAGTGTGGCAAGCAGCCTAACCTCTAGAAGATGGACTTTTAGAGGGCTAATGCTACCATGATGGAACTGTAACTTCCTCAGTTACGGAGTCATTTTTTTCTTTTTTATAAATATCATAATTGACTCATTGTTTATTTTATTTCTACCATAGTCATTTTTATGTTACTGTTTTCAGGTTTTGCCAAGCTTTTTTTTTTCACATTTTTGAAGTTTCCATCTCTTTACGACACGAGATTTCTAGGCTGGCCTAGCTTGCCACCATCTGAAATTGTCCCTTTGTCTAACTGTTTTGCATCTGCTTATTACAGATTGACATTTACAAGTTACAGTTCAGGAGTGAAAGGGTGCTCAGGGCGTGAATGCTTCCTGACAGCTTTTTCTATACCTGGACCTGTTTGGGCTTACTATTCTGTGGCTAATTTTGAAGATTTTTTCTTGAAGAGTACCCATTTCATTTTTCTGCCTTGAAAGTTATTAAAGAATTCATGATGTGTTTTAAAAGTGCATAGTACAAAATCCCTTTGATCTCATATTTTCCATTTGTCGTTTCCTTCTTGGTTGTTTTGTTCGCTTTCCACGGTTTTACCTATTGTACTGACTTTTTTCAGGCACCAGCTCTTTGACTTGTTTGTTAATACTGATTTGCAACCTGTTATATTTTTATCTTGTCACTTTCAGTTGTTTATTTCATAAATTTTTGATCAGATGCATACCTTACTTACTTTGTTCATTTTTATTGAGATGATTTGTCAAATTCTTGAGTTCTCTAACTGTTGAATGCTTCAGGTTCTGCCATATAATTTTCTGTTGTCCTTTGTAGTTAGTTTTTTTCTCATGTTTTTATTTAGAATGACTTAGCAGGTTTTTTTTTTTTTTTTTTTTGGAGATTGCATTTCCGTTTTCACATGGAAGTTTTTTAGTTTTATGTTATGAATTTCTGCAGATACTATAATTTGGAGAGTGTTCCTACAGTCACATTGAATTATTTATTGGTCCTAAGTCAGCCCACTCATTGAGCATTTTCAAATTTTCTCTAGCTATTTCTTGCAGTTTATTACCCTTCACAATAAATCCTTGCATTCTTTTTCATCTACTACCTGGAATTCTTCTACATTGCTTCACCATTTAGTTGAGTTCCCCAAGACAGCCAAAGATTTAAAATTCTTTCTCTCAGTACATGCAAGCTCAGTATATTTGTGAAAACTCATTGATATGTGCTTCTGGACATTATCAGCATAATCAACTTTGAGTAAAAAGTAAAATGAACAGGGACTTGAAAAAAGACACAAAGGAATAAAGCAGAGGGCACAGTTAGCAAAGAAATGAAAATCATTATTTTTGTTGGAGAATGACAAGAACTTCTTATTGATGCACATGAGAGGGAATGAAAAACAGTAATTGGATTTTGAAAGAGGATATAGTTTCTTTGAGACCATTTGTTTCCATTTTATGTGGGAACTCATACAAAGAATACATCTAAGCAATGTAGCACAGAGTGATACATTAGGGTTAAAAAGATATTATCAATAACTTTTACAAATTATGTAGGGGGCTTTCAAGTATTCTTTTGAAATTGGTGACCTTTTCAATCAAAAAAAGATATCTATAGAACATTTACTTTGGTCCAGAAAAATATGTTTTTCTTATTCCTTTTAGATTTGAAGCCAAAATGTGAAATAGTTAACCATGGAAAAGTACGTATCTATACAAAACATCCATCTGTTACTCTTTATGAAGAAATCCTTAATAGAGAGAAACTCTACCAATGTGAGAAATGTGGGAAGGGCTTTGCTCATCATACAGACCTTACAGAACATCACAAAGTTCACATTGGTGAGAAACTCTATGAATGTCAGCAGTGTGGAAAACTCTTCAATCGGGCCTCCAATCTTCTGCAGCATCAGAGAATTCATACTGGTGAAAAGCCGTACAAATGTGAAGAATGTGGAATGACCTTCAGTCGTAGCATAGACCTTAGAGTGCATCAAAGAATTCATACTGGTGAGAAGCCCTATGAATGTGAAGAGTGTGGGAAGGCCTTTAGTCGTGCCTCCTACCTGACTCAGCACCGTAGAGTTCACACTGGTGAAAAATCCTATGTGTGTCATGAATGTGGGAAGGCCTTTAGTCAACGTGGAGGACTTAAAATACATCAGAGAATTCATACTGGTGAGAAACCCTATGAATGTAAGGAATGTGGGAAAACCTTCAGTCAAGCCTCTTACCTTATGCAGCATGACAGAATTCATACTGGAGAACGACCCTATGAGTGCCATGAGTGTGGGATGACCTTCAGTCGGGTTATAGATCTTAGAGTGCATCATCGGATCCATACTGGTGAGAAACCCTACAGATGTAAAGAGTGCGGGAAAGCCTTCAGTCGTGCTTCAAATCTTGTTCAACATGAGAGAATTCATACTGGGGAGAAGCCTTATAAGTGTAAAGACTGTGGGATGACCTTTACTCACGTGTACCAACTTACCCCGCATCAGAGAACACACACAGGTGTGAAACCCTATGAGTGTAACAAGTGTGGGAAGGCCTTCAGTCATGCCTCTGTACTTATTCGCCATGAGAGAATTCATACTGGTGAGAAACCCTATAAATGTAAAGAATGTGGGAAGGCCTTTATTCATGATGGAAGTCTTAAGATGCACCAGAGAATTCATACGGGTGAGAAACCCTACGAATGTAAAGAATGTGGAAAGGCCTTGAGTTGTATCTCAAGCCTTGTTAAGCATCAACGCATCCATACCGGTGAGAAACCCTATGAGTGTAAGGTGTGTTGGAGGGCCTTCACTCATGTCGAAAGCCTTAAAGTACATCATAGACTCCATACAGGTGAGAAACCCTATGAATGTAAAGAGTGTGGGAAGACTTTCAGGAGTGGCCATCAACTTGTCATCCACCATAGACTTCATACAGGAGAGAAACCCTATGAGTGTAAGGAGTGTGGGAAGGCCTATAGTGTGTGTGGAAGACTTACTCGACATCAGAGCATTCACAGAGGTGAGAAGCCATTTGAATGTAAGAAATGTGGGAAGTCTTTCAGCTATAAATCAAGTCTTAAAGTACACCAGAGGATTCATACTCGAGAGATCCCTTAAGGATATAAAGGCCTTATGAAGGCACATATTCATGTATATGTACATATATGATGTGTGGTAAATTTATAATGGAGGAAATAGTTGAATGAATGTGGGAATGCTTTAGATGTCTTTTGGTGTATAAGACATTAAATAATTTGTACTGTGGGAACTCTTGGAAATATAAAAAAGTATGTCAATATTTTTACTTAGGACCTAAAATATTGTTCACATTCTAAGAGTTATGGTGTTTTTCATAACATGAAAAACCTTTATTGACATTTTCTATTTGTGGATTTTCGGTATATTCACATTAAAGGAATATTCAGAGAATGTAGAAATGCTGTGTGTTTTTATGCTTTATTTATAAAAGCTTTCCTAGTCCTAATGAGGAATTCATGTCAACTGACCAAATGCACAGAATCTTAGAGTGAAGGACATTTTAAAAGATTTCTGTGAAACTTATTTTTGGAAAGGGTGGCTGGCTCAAAGAGAGCATCCAGTTTAGTGGAATTTATATCAACATTTCACATTAATGAGTCTAATGTTTGCTTTTGGTTGTGAGCAAAAACTGTATTGTGTTTAAATACATTCCTATGTTAGAGGTTTATCACTTTTTCCAAATGCCACTCCATTTTATGCTGTTATTGTTGTCTTCTTTTCTGTCTCTCCCTTTTTAAAAAAGTATATTTATTTATTTGAAAAGCAGAGTTACAGAGAGTGCTGGTTCACTCCCCCAGTGGTCATAATGGCTGAGCTGAGCTGGTTTGAAGTCAAGAGCCAGGAGCTTCTCCTGGGTCCTGGATGTAGGTGCTCAAGCACTTATACCGTCCTCTGCTGTTTTCTCAGGTGTGTTAGCAGGGAGCTGGATCAGAAATGGAGCAGTGTGATGTGAAATGCCAGTGCTACAGACAGCAGCTTTACACACTAAGCCCTAGCACCAGCCCCTACTTTTCTCTTTGACTTATCACTATGTTAAGGTATACTTACAGTATGCTTACAGTTAATCTTAAGTATCCTTGGGGTAATAATCTTTTCTTTTGATGCCTATTGACTTTCATTACTTAATCTTTATTTTACCTGTAAAGTTATGTTCTGATTTCACTTTACATTCCAGTTTAATACTTCAGCAATCAATGTAAGAATGAGTTTAGACTTTGTTTTTGAAAACTTACGGTACATTTTTTTATCTGTTGAATTATTTTTTAATGTCTTATTTTTAAAATCTCCTTAAGAGAAGCATTTTTTTTAATCTGGTAAAATATACATACAATGTAACATTTTAACATTTTTGGGCACAGGGCGATAGCTTAATGGCTAAATCCTCACCTTACTGGTGCTGGGATTCATGTCCTGGCTGCTTCACCTTCCTTTCAGCTCCCTGCTTGTGGCCTGGGAAAGCAGTGGAGGACAGCAGTAGAAGAAAGCTTTGAGACCCTGTGCCTATGTGGGAGACCCGGAAGAAGCTTCTGGCTCCTGGCTTTGGATTGGTTCAGCTCTGGCTGTTGCTACCATTTGGGGAGTGAACCAGCAGATGGAAGATCTTTGTCTCTCCTTCTCTCCATAAATCTGATCTGCCTTTCTGATATAAATAAATAAATAAACAAATCTTTAGAAAAAACTTTTTAAACATTTTTGAATGTACTTAACATGAAGTATTAAGTGTACATGAAGGTACTCTTAAATTGGTCAGGAAAAATCAAAAGCTGTTTACTTTCTAGAAAAAAATAAGATTGAAATCCATGTGTAGTTTTTTGCACATATATTTTCCCTGAACTTTAAAAACTAAATACATTTTTAAAAATTTGTTTTTGTGGAACAGCTGCAGCAAACTAGGGAAAAGCAGAAAAGCGATAAATCTTCCAACTGCTGGTTCATTCCTCAAATGGCCACAAAAGTCAGATTTAGATCAAGCTAAAACCAGAAGCCAGGAACTCCATTCTGTATTTATTTTTATTGCAAAGTCAGATATACAGAGAAGAGGAGAGACAAAGAGGAAGATCTTCCATTTGATGATTCATTAGCCAAATGACCACAACGGCCGGTGCTGTGCCAAACCAAAGCCAGGAGCCAGGAACTTCCCCCAGGTCTCCCATACAGGTGCAGGGTCCCAAAGCTTTGGGTCGTCCTCGACTGCTTTCCCAGGACACAAGCAGGGAGCTGGATGAGAAGCACGGCTGCCGGGATTAGAACCAGCACCCATATGGGATCCTGGCGTGTTCAAGGTCAGGACTTTGGCCACTAGGCCACAGTGCCGGGCCCCATGTAATCATTGTTTAAAAAATAATAAAATATAAATTTTTTTAAAAAGCTGGAGTCCAGTTCCAGAGCTGGGCCATCTAGTGTGAGTCACACACATCTTAACTGTTAGGCTAAATGTCTGCCTGAGCAAGATACTTTTTAATGAAAAGGAATGTATTCAGCATTCTGGAGATTGAAAGATGTGTTGCTGCCATAGCTTAGCTCTTGGAAAGGCATGGTGGCAGATGGCATCACAATGGTGGAAGTGTATGCAAGATGGACATGGCAAGACAGGAATCTGAAGAGTAATCCAGCCACCTGGCTTCTCTTGAGAACCAACTAGGGACCAGGAGAAGTGCGTTAGCTGCTGCTGAGGGAAGGCCCTCAGTGACATACAAACCTCCCACTAGACCTTGAGGAACAGGCACATATGTAAAACCTAGCCTTAAGCTCATGATCCATGTTTGTCTCACAGGGTAAATTGCATTGATACCAGCCCAATAGTCCCGAACCTCTATTATCATCCAGAAGTCCACATTCAAGTACGTCCCAATGTTTGCAAAGGGGGATATTCATGTTTTGTTTTGCTGTCATAATGTGTTTGGATTTTGTGCCAGTATGGCTTTTTCCATAGACTAGGTGTGCAAGTATTTCTTCCTCTTCAGTTTCTGGTAAGACATTGGAAGAATTGGTGTTAGTTATTTTTAAAATATTTATTTGCTAACTTAGTTGAAAGTTTGAAAAAAACAGGAACACAGAGAGGACAGAAGGGAGAGAAGGAGGCAGAGAGAGAGACAAAAACTCCTCCATCTACTTCAGTTCACAAACGATTTGGCCAAGTCAAATCCAAGAGCCAGGAACTCCATCCAGGTTTCCCAGTGGTTTGCAGGGGATGAAGTCTTTGGGTTATGCTCAGCTGCCTTCCTAGACCTGTTAGCAGGAAATGGAGTCAGAAGTGGAACAGACAGGGCTGAACCGGCCCTCTGATCCTGGGGTGCTGGCACTGTCACTGGTTGGTTCAGCCCATTGTATCACACGCTGGCCCTGGCGTTAGTGCTTCAAAGGTAGGATTTTTTTTTCTTTTTTCAAGGAAGTCTTCCAGTCCTGGGCTTGTTGTTCTATTTCTTCATGATTCAGTCCTGGAAAGGCATTTCTGTCTAACACTTCATCCATTTCATCTGGGTTTCTAGTCTAGTTGTTGATTCAGTTTCTTTTCTAGGTTTGGGCCTATTCATACTATCGACCTCCTTCTTTGAGTTTCAGTAAATTGTGTCTTTAAAGGGGAGGGTCCAGTTCTTACATGTTCCTGTGTTCTTAAGCAGAATGTTGTTCATAGTACTAGTGATGCCAGCGACAATCCCCGCTTCCAGTTCTGACACCAACTTGTATCTTCTCTTTTCGACTCCTCTGATAGAGGTTTGTCTTTTTTTTTTTTTAAGAACTACCTTTTTTTATCCCTGTCTTTATTCTCTATATTTTTGTTCGGATTTTATCAGTTCTTCTGCTTGCTTTAGATTTATATTACTCTTATTTCTTTAGTTCTGATATGGAAACTAGATTACTGACTTTCCATATCCTGTTTTTTTTTCCTATATACACATATTCAAATATTTAAAAAAACACCTTAACTGAAAGGCAGTTACAGAGAGAGGGAGAGAGAGATCTTCCATTTGCTGAATCATTCCCCAAATGGCCACAGTGCCCAGGCTAGCCAGCCCAAAGCCAGGTGTCTGGAAATCCATTCAACTCTTCCTTGTGGGAGGCAGGGGTCCAAACACTTGGACCCCCTTCCCACTGCCTTCTCAGGGGTATTAGCAGGGAACTGGATCAGAAACAGAGCAACTGAGACACAAAATCAGATGTTTAGATTCCCCTGTTGCCAATTGCAAAAGGTCAATTCGAAATCACCATGGGCTTGAGGAGGAGAATAAAGATTTACTGCTTATTGCTTCATTGGCACAGTTTGTGAATGATGAAAAGTTATGTAGTAGTGATGACTGCACAAAATTGTGAAGACAATTAGCTACTGAATTGCACACTTATGGTTTACAAGGCAGATTTTGCTGTCTATATTTTACTGCAGCAATAAATGGAAAACAAGCATTCGCCTAGTATGCAGAAACAGGAAAATACATTCAGAACAGTTGGACCTTACCACATACCATATGTAAAAACTAATTCAATATGAACATAAGACCCAGAGTGTGGGGCCTGTATTGTGGCATATATATGTGTGTGTGTATATCTCTATATGTATGTATGTATGTATCTATCTATCTATCTATAATAAGCTGGGGGCTGGCATGATAGCCCAGTTGGCTAATACTCCACCTTTGAGTCCTGGGATCCCATATGGGTGCTGGTTTGTGTTGTGGCTGCTCTGCTCCCCATTCAGATCCCTGCTTGTGGACTGGGAAAGCAGTGCAAGATGGTCAAGTCCTTGGGATTGTGCACTCGCATTGGAGAACCAGAAGCTCCTGGCTCTTGGCTTTAGATCAGCGTAGCTCCTGCCGTTGTGGCCATGCGGGGAGTGAACCAGTGAATGCATGATCTCTCTCTCCCTCTTTCTTTCTCTTTCCCTCTAAATCTGCCTTTCAAGTAAAAAGTAAAGCAAATTTTTATTTTTTAAAAAGTATCCACTTTCTGTTACTAAAGCAAAAAAGCAGAGGCAAGCCATTTTCATAAATAGGAAGGATATTATTCTGGCTTAGAATTACAGTGGTTTAAGTTCAAGATTGGGCTGCCTCATTGGTTTGATGAATGCAGTAAATTAGAGGCCTGATGCTGTGGCCTAGTGGCTGAAGTCCTCGCCTTGCATGTGCCAGGATCCCATAGGGCCACTGATTCTAATCCCAACAGCCCTGCTCCCCATCCAGCTCCCTGCTTGTGGCTTGGGAAAGCAGTCGAGAACGGCTCAAAGCCTTGGGACCCTGCATGTACGTGGGAGACTTGGAAGAAGCTCCTGGCTCCTGGCGGCTTCGGATTGGCTCAGCTCCAGCCATTGTGGTCACTTGGGGAATGAATCATCTGATGGAAGATCTTCCTCTCTGTCTCTCCTCTCTGTATATCTGACTTTATAATTTTTTAAAAATGTAAATTAGTTCAGACATAAGAAATAGTGTGGATGTTCCTGAAAAAGTCAGAAATGGAACTATCAGGTGTACAATCCGGTGGAAACTGGATCAGTGTCAAAGAGATATTTGCACATTTACTGAAGGAGTTCTTGCACTAACCAACATATAGAATCAGCTCAGTTATCCACTGATACATTAACCAATAAAGATGTGATGTGTGACTATACAGAGATCCATTAAAATAATGAAATATGAAATGATGGGGCAGATATTTGGCACAGCAGCTTCCTTTGCCACCTCGAATGCCTGCATCCCCCGTTGGCGTCTGTGGCTATTCCACTTCTCATCCAGCTTTCTGCTGGCATGGGAGGCACCAGTGAACGGCTCAAGCACATGGGTTGAGTTCTGGCTTCTGACTTTGGCCTGGCGATTGTGTGGACATTTGTGGAGTGAACCAGCAGATAGAAGATACCTCTCTATGTTTGTTGACTCTTTCTCTCTCAAATTAAACAATAAAGTAAGCTTTTTTTTTTTAAATAGAATGAAATTCTGTCACTTAGAATTACTTGGGCAGAACTGGAGGACATTTGTTAACTGAAATAAGTCGGACACAGAAAGTCATACTGTATACTGCATACTGACATGTGAAAGTCACAAAATTGATCTCCCAGAAGTAGAGATCAGAGCACTTGGTTATGCTGGGGGTAGGGGAAGGCAGGGGAGCTAAGATAGAGAGAGGCTGATTAATAGGTACATAATACAGCTGGGTGGGGGGGATAGCCGCCAATGCTCAACACATAATAGAATTACTATGGCTGGAAACAACTGAATATTTCAAAATAGCTACTAGAGAGGATTTTAAATTTCTGAACACAATATGCTAATTGGATGACTATACATTGTATACATCTACTGAAATGTCACAACATACCCTATGATGAAACATGCATTATAACTAGAAATACACTTATTTTAAAAGTCATACCTTTGCATCTGAAGGCAGACCCCAGAGTGTCACACAGAACAGAAAAAAAGTCATAACTGGTGAAGAGACCAGGGATTGTCCTTCCTCTCATCATCCCTCCCTTCCTTTCTGGGGTTCCTCCACATCCTACCCCAAATGGAGATCATGTCTGGCTTAGTGATGGAAAGCTCTTTTTATGAGGCAGGAAATGATCATGGTTAAAATACTCTAGAATTCAAATCCAGGCCGTCACCAGGGAAGCCATTATGGGGAAGACAAATGCCGGAATGTTCTGAAGAACAGGGAAGATAACAAGAAGTAGAAATGAAACAACAGAAGCATATATGGGAGAAGGCAACGGTTTCAGAAGGGAAGATGCTACATGATTTGCAGGTTAAGATCAAGTTGCTGATCTTTCATCACCTCTGTCTAAATAGTTCTGTTTGTATAAAAGTCCTGTTTATTACAGAGTAACAGATTCTCAATGAGTAATTATACCCCATTCTAGGGAGCTGTGGAAATGTGTGGTATCAAGTTGTAGGTTGTTACAGTGACAGAAGCTTGCCAGTAGGCTTTCTTGTCTAAGAGCCAGCCATGCTGGCTTGTAACCTTGTAATGCCAAGACAATGTCACATAACAAAGAATACCTTGTTGAAAACTGTTGCTCTCTAAAATAGATCAGTGAATGTCACGGATACTTTCCCTTACCAGGAGCAATGCCTTAGCTAATTAATATAAAGATCAAAACAACTGCAATAACTCTTGGCCCAAATGACACTATCCAAAGCATGCAAGAAGAGCCTAAAGCTGGAGCGGGTGTCCTGGCACAGGGGTAAAAGCCATAGGCCACAATGCCCGAAGGACACGGGTTTGAGGCCAGCTCTGAGCTAATGGCCTGGGAAAGCAGAGAAATTAGACTCAAGTACTCAGGTGATCCCTGCCACCCACATGAAGTCCCAAAGAAGCAGGGTCAGTGTGGCCATCTGGGGAGTGATTCAGCATACGGAAGATCTCTTTGTGTTACTTTTTAAAATAAATTAATAAACGTTTGAGAGAGAGACTTGACCAAACTGTAACAAGACTTCTTAAGGCTTTGTCCCTGGGCTGGCCCTAACCCCCTTTGAAACCTGTGAAAAATGCGTATTTGCCATGAGAACATACTTTTGTCAGAACCTGAAGATGAGCTGTCTTCGAACACTTATTTCAGGAGGTTTACAACTTTTAAGCCTGCCTTTGCCCCTAAGATGTAAAAATCGACTACCCAGAACTCTTAAGGACCCGGAATCCACCTGTTTAAATACCGAAGCGCAGTCACCCCCTCCAGCGTCCAGGTAGCGCAGCCCCCTGCATCCTGAGGGTGCGATCTGGGTTCCTGTCATCACGTGGGAGAACTGGTTTGAGTTCCCAGTCCGACTAACACCTGCCCACGTAAATGCTTTTGCGTGATGAGCGGTTGGGTAGTAGTTAAAAGCCACAAGCGCACTCCATCTTCTCCGCGCCCCATGGAGTCGCTCCCCGCCGCACAGGCCGCAGCCTGGAGCGCTCGAATCCTCCAACCCTCGGGGCCCACGAGAACTGGGAACGGCGCCCGGAGAAGCTGCAGGAGCTCCAGGAGCCCGATCTCCGGGCCGGAGACCAGCCACCGAAGGCCTGCGCGCAGCACGCAGGCCGCGAAGGCCTCTGGGACATGTAGTCCAGCACGGGACACGGGCAGGAAGGACGGCAGCTGGGTCACCGAGCACCTCTCGGTCCACATCTAAGCCAGAAGGAAGGTCCTCCACCCGGTCCCGAACTGAAAACGCTCCAGAAAGGGCCCAGGTAGGTGTTCTTAGAGATCTCCAACCGGGAGAGCGCATCCTAATCCTCTCTAGGATGACCGTGCTCCCAAAGGGCCTACTCGTGCTCACAAAAGCCACCGCGTCTGGCCATGGCAAATCTCGCGGGGTGTCGATGAGAGCAGCGCAGCCTTCTGGGACATGTAGTCCAGGCTAGCGCCCACAAACATGGCGGAACGGCCTGGAGGGAGGTTGTTCTGAATCATCTCCGCACCCTACCTGACTTTAACCAGTGCTTGCCCAGGCGGTGCCCGAGACCTGGGAGCGCTCCTTCGTGCTCCGAGTACGCAGACACACCGGGCCGCACTTGGTGCTGTTGTGCAGAGGTGGGTTTGGCCGCCGGTTCCGAAGCAGTTTGGGGGTGGGGGAGACGGGGCCTGCGTCCTGGGCGCTGGCCTGCCTGGTGGCCGCGGGTGGAGTCCAGGGATCCCGGGCCCGGGCTGGAGGTGCGGACCGACGCCCTCCGAGGGGATTCCGGCCCGGTGGCCGAGTGCGGGCTTTGCCGCATGGGCGATGGGGTTTGTGTGAGCGAGCCGAAGCGCGCGGTCATCCTCTGAGAGGGGGCGGCCTGGGTTCCAACGACGATCCAATATTGAAAATGGGGGTGCTTGTGCCCGGACCCCAAAATACTCGACGATGGGGGTGGGGAATTTTCAAAAATCGCTGTGATAAAGACTGAAAAAGAGGTTTTCTGTGCAAAACGTGCATTGACTATTGTATAGGATTCCAGACCAGTGGGACTTTTAAGTATGTACACAAAGGAATAGTTTAAAGCAACTTGTTTTCGTGGGACTGCGGGCCCCCTCCTTATTTTTTTTTTTTTCCGGTCAGACCTTTAGACACAAATAGGAGACTTGAGAAGCCAAGGATTAAGGAATAATTTATGAGGCAATGCTGCCTACCGTACAGCGAGATCAGGATTCGGGGTTCAGGATTGTGGGTGAGGCTCTGTAACTGCGGATTTTGAAGAGCCTGTTGTTGGCCCAGGAAAGTCCTGGCGGCTCTTCCGATCTGGCTGCACCTGGGGACCCACAGGCTGCCGGTTTATTGCCATTTTCTCAGGGAGCCACGATGTCTTTGTGATACAATAAAAGCTTTTGGCTTTTTCTCAAAGATCCTTCCTCTGTTATTTCACAAAATTGACTTTGCACATCTAGGTAAGTGATGAAATTGTGAAGCAGCTGACTATAAAATTAAGATTCATATTCTTTGGTGTGAAAAACCAGCCACGAAAAGATATAATGAAAAAAAAAATGTAGGTATTTACCATAGCAACAAGAGCTGGAACACTGGCTTAAAGTAGAGTTAAGAAAATGTGCAAAAACCTGTTATTTATGAACTAGAACTCTAAACTGTTTTAAATAACTAACAAAACCTTCATGAGAATATTGCTAGTACAGGAAGGAACAGAAAACTTCAACAAATGGAAACAATGCTATAATCTTAGAAATGAAAGGGAAGTCAGCAACTGTAATAACGAGATTTTGATAAAAACAGCAACATCTTGTTTTTTAATTGTGTAAGATGACTTTAAAATTCATATTTAAAAATATTGCACTCTGAAAAAATAATTTCAGTGAGGGTGTACTAACCCCAATTCAAAGAATAGGAATCTGTCACATGAACACATCGGTGGATCAAAATGAATGACAGGGTATGAAATAGGGCCAAAACTGTAAGGAAACGTGCTGCATTTTGAATCTGGCCTCAACTGGATTAACAGTCTCATTGATGACTATGGAACATCTAGGTAACCATTGTTGTTTCAGAGAAGGGCTCCTTCCCTCCCCCCCCCAAAAAATGAATAGAAAATATGTATTATGAAGAGCTATGTGTGGGTTTCCAACTTTTCTGGCATCAAAATAAACTTACCTTTTAATTCCATTTTCCATGAACTGTTTGAGGTGGACCTATTTCTGGCCTCCGGTTTGTCCTGTTGATCTGATTTTCAGGGGTTGGAGGACCTGGAATAAACTGGGAGATCAAGGTCTTTGTTACTCCAATGAAATGGCAAATTTACGGAGAAGTGGCTGAAAGGTGTTGGGTGAGGGTAGTGCTGGGCTTGGATTGATTGGAGATGGGCTGATAGGGTGGGGTAGGGGATCCTTGGCCCACCTGATGGAGAAAAAAAGCTGTAACACTGCTTAAACCCTGAGCTGCAGCCTGGTCCTGGTTCTTGGCCACAGCCCAGAAAGAATCCCCAGGATCAGGCATTTCCTTGCAGTGGAGCCTTCTGTGTGCTCCCAGGCAGAAGTACATCCCGCCAAGCCCCGTGAGCCTGGACTGGCTCACACAGGAGGAATTCTCAGAAAGTTCATGTACATGAACCTGAAGGATACCATCCATGGGTTGCTAGACAGTTTCACGCTGTCATAAATTTAGCTTGTAACTCCGTCTTTTGAAATCCCCCGGGGAAGGTACTCCGGCGCTGTGAGAAGTTGCAGCCCCAGAAGCTTCGACCTTGAGATTTCCCTCTGGGTTGTGGATGGTGGGAGCTGCTCTGCTCCGTCTGACTTTGAGGTGTGCACCTGCACCGAGGAGTGGTGGGGCAGGTCTTGGTGTGTGCTGAGACAGAGCTGCTTTCTCCTAATTCCATTCTCCTTCTCCAGTTCTATGATTTTCCAGAATTGACCGGAGGAGCAGAAAGCATGGATATTGTGGAGCTAAAAACCCCGTTTGAGGTGAGGTGAAATTTTCTTCTGCGAATTACTTTCTGGTTTATTTTCCCCTGAATTGGTGCTTTCTACTTTGTATTGGTAACCAAGTCTGGTTTGAGATTTACCGGCGTGAACTGTTAAACTCTCCTTTTACAATCAGGCATCCCATCCCATGGGCTCTGGGTGGGTTTTAGTATCTGCGTATTTGTGAAATTTATTTAAAATTTCTGCATCTTAATTTCTTCATTTATAAAATGGAGAGCCTGATAGCACTCACTGAGAGGTTTGTAAAAATGACTAAATTAATGCATGGAACACTCTTAGAATACTGGCACTTAACAATATATTCCATTTACATAAGATGTTACAATCATGTGTACAAAGTTGGCTGTGGATTAAGAAAAATGAAAATATAAAATTGTGTTGGATATTTGCAAATAAGAAGTAACACTAGACATTCAAATAATACAGGAGTTTTTAAACCTGCAGGTCATTTATTTGTTTGGTTACAAATCCTGTGAAAGAACTATAATTTATTGTGACTTAAGGTGAACGTGTATGACTTAAAAGAATTCAGTTCTACAATTCTAGAATCAGAGTATAAAAAGGATGTGACAGCCATAGAGGCAACCTTAGATAAAATTAGTGTCCCTAAAGAATTAAGGAAATTCTTTTCCATCCATCTGGTGGAATATTTAACCAAAAAAAAAAAAAAAAAAAAAACCCAACCCAGCATCAAGCTGGTGCGCAGCGGATCTGGAACGCCAGCCCAGGCAGCGTGCCCTCATTGTTCCTGCTCTTCCCATCTGCTTTCCCTGTCTCCATCTTGTACAAATTTCACAGTACATGAGAAGAGCCACATCACGAGCCTCTAAGCACGGAGCTGCCTTTCTCATTATTTCCCCAAACCCTCTCCTAAAAGTAATAGGTCCTTAAAAAAAAAACCTGCTCCCTTATGTAATAATTCATCTTGCCTTCATTATGCATCCTTTCTCTCTCTTTGCTAATTAAAACACTTGCTTATAATTATTAATGGTAGAGGAGTCATCTGTCGCATAACTTCCCAATTGTAGATGCCTGTGGTGGCTGCTCTGCCCTTTCACAGGTCTCTCCTATGGATAACTTTTCCAGCGTGGAATTTTTAGGTCAAACACAGTTCAGTAATGCCAGGAATATCGCGGATACCAGGGAGAAATGCAATGATAAGAATAATTCAGTGGCCATCCTGAAATTCTCTCTAGAAAAGCCAGGCAGGTAGAGATAACCTTGCTTGCATTATTGGGGGGCCTGGGTTCAGGACCCGAGTCTGGCTTCCCTCCTGGGGGGACTTTGAAGGTTCCTGTAATGGGATTTCTGCCACACACCGTGGGAAGACTTAATTGACTGCCCCGCCTGGGCCTTCACAGGGGACGGGATGGATGGACCAGGGAACAGGGCTGGCTGTTTCTCAGGTTGGAAAAAAAAAAGAAGAAAACAATTTCCTGTTGAATCAAGTAAGGGAGACATGAAGCTATTTCAAAAAGGTTGTGGGAAATGGAGTTAAAAGCTTATATTTTATGGTATAAAAATTTTTGAAATCCAGTCATATGAAGATTTCTTTAAAAAAAAAAAACTCATGGAAAAATCTATGTTGTGAAAAAAGCTATGCATGGATTTCAAAATTTCCTACACCAAAAATAAATTTCTCTTTTAAAGTGTACTTTTCTATGGACTTTCTAAAAATACCCTCGTGCAGCATAAACAGAAATCAGTTGAGATGTGGGCTGCTACTCCTTGGGAGTTCAAAGGAATGAGGCCTCTGCCAGCCATGGTCATGGCGACTGTTTTGCGACACCACCTTGGGTACAGAGACTCTGGAAGCCAAGGAGCTCTCCGTGATCAGCTTTGCACCTGGTGCCTTGCAGGAATGATTTTCTGCCGAATGAGATTGACACAAGATGAGTCAGTAACTTTGTGGAGGGCATCACAGCAGTGTACGAAGCTCGTTGGGAAGTGGAAATAAAATGTTAGTGTAATTTTACAGAAAATGCATATTATGAAAACAAAGGCATGGTTTAAATTTTGTGTTTAAATATTCATTTATTGGAAAGGCAGAGTGACAGGGAGGGAGAGACAGAGAGATCTTTTATCTGCTGCTGGTTCAATCCCCAAATGGCTGCAACAGCTGGAGTTGTGCCAGGCCAAAGCCCCGAGCCAGGAATTCCGTCTGGGTCTGCCACGCGGGTGACAGGGGCCCGAGTACTTGAGCCATCTCCTGCTGCCTTCCCAGGCACATTAGAACAGAGCCCAGCAGGAAGCAGAACAGCCAGGACTTGAACCATCACACCTGTGTGGGAGGCAGGCGTCATAAGCCACTGCTTAACTCAATGCATGCAGCATGACAGAGTATACTTAATTTTTTAATTCGTTTTCCACAAACTTTCTTTAAGCTTTGTTTTTTTTTCTCCCCACATACTTTTTGAAGTTCTGTCATACTGAAAAGTATTGGCTAAAAAAAGATTCATCCATCCTGATAAAAATTAAAAAACATACTTAGAACTGTCTTCAATGCGTACAAGACATATAGCTCTTATATCTGTTAAGACTGCTACACATTTTGATAAAACTTCTTTATGTCAGTTACATAGGAAAATTAAGAATATAATAGTGTACCTCAAACTGTTTCCCCAGCTATTAACATCTTGCATTAGCATGATACATTTGTCATAGTCAATATTGATACATTACTATTAAGTGAAGTTCAGATTTTATCCAGATTTCTCCATTTTTTTTTTTAAGTCTATTTCATTTATTTGAAGGGCAGAGTGCCAGAAAGAAAGAGATCCTCTATCTTGGTTCACTCTGCCAAATGGCCACAGCTGCAAATGCTGAGCCTGGCCGAAGCCGGGAGTCTGGGAACTCTGTCCTCATCTCCCAAGTGGGTGGCAGAGGCCCAAGCACTTAAATATATTAGGAAACTGGATCGGGGGCAGAGCAGCCGGGACATGAATCAGCACTCCCATATGAGATGGCGGCATTGCAAGCTGTGTCTTAATGTGCTGTGCTACAACTTCAGCACAATAATTCCTCTTTTTTTTTCCCCAAATATTAGCCCATGACAACTACAGTATTATCATTTCAGTCTATACTCCCTATAAACGTTGAGATATCTTGCATTCCTCCTTTTCATGTCAAATCTTGGAAAGCTGAGAAGATTTCTTCATTTTTAACCAAAAGCCAATTCCAGGATAGCCTGCTTTCCCAGTTTCCTTCTTTTTGATGACTTTGTAGAATGTCCCTTACTCAGAATTTGTTTGGTGTTTTCCTCATCATCGGAGGGATGTTGGATTTGGGACTGAAGACAGCGGTCCTGGGTTGCCAGTCTCAGCACAACTGCAGGACTCGGAACATTTCTTCACTGTTCATCTTACCTTGGCTTTCTGGCAGAGGACGTGCGTGGCAGTTTTCTCCACTGCTCAATTGCGTGCCCGCCCCAACTTTTCAACTATACTTTAAAAAAAAAGTGATGATTTTATTTGTGTGAGTCTCCCACATGGGTGCAGGGTCCAGCATCTGCTACTTTCCCAGGCACGTGAGCAAGATGTTGGAAAAAGTGGAGCAGCGAGGACTCAAACCTGTACTCATAACGGAAGAGCAGCTTAACCCACTGCGTCACAGCACCAGCCCCTCTACTATTTGTAAGAAATCATATGTACAGGCCACACTTAGGAATGTAGAGTTATGTTGTAATGAGCTCTTGACACAAATTTTTTGGAATTCTATATAAGTTGGCTATTCCTCCCTACCTTTTTTTAAACATTTATTTATTTTTATTGGATAGACAGATATACAGAGAGGAGGAGAGACAGAGAGGAAGATCTTCCATCTGATGGTTCACTCCCCAGGTGACCGCAATGGCTGGAGCCAACCCAGCCAGGAGCCAGGAGCTTCTTCCAGGTCTCCCACGCGGGTGCAGGGTCCCAAGGCTTTGGGCCGTCTTCCACTGCTTTCCCAGGCCATAAGCAGGGAGCTGGATGGGAAGCAGGGCTGACTGGGATTAGAACTGGTGCGTTCAAGGTGATGGTTTTAGCCACTAGGCTATTGTGCCAGACCTTCCTCCACACTTTTGAAGTATGTTCACGTCCCTGTAGATTCATGGCTACTATATGCTTTTGATTATAGCATAAGCATTACTGCATTTTGAGCCTTTTCATATGATTTGACATTTGTTTTTAAGATTTATTTATTTTTATTACAAAGCCAGATGTACAGAGAGAGGGAGAGACAGAGAGGAAGATCTTCCATCCAGGTATTCACTCCCCAAGCGAATGCAGCGGCCAGTGCCGAGCCAATCCAAAGCTAGGAGCCAGGAACCCCCTTCAGGTCTCCCATGTGGGTGCAGGGTCCCAAGTCTCTGGGCCATCCCCAACTGCCCACCCAGGCCACAAGCAGGGAGCCGGATAGGAAATGGGGCTGCCGGGACCAGAACCAGTGCCCATATGGGATTCCGGTGCGTTCAAGGCGAGGACCCCAGCCGCTAGGCCACTGCGACAGGCCCAGTTTGACATATTTTTAAAATTTCCTGCAAGTCATGTTCTGAAATATTTTGAAGTTTCCCACAAACTCTTTTATATTCTCCCACCACGCGCATGTGCACACACAGAGCCATTCTTCCTCCTTCCTCCTCCCATAGGACTAGGACTGATTTCTGGATGGGTTTAGGATGTCTGCAGCTCCTTCCTCCCCTTAGAGGCAGATCTCACCATTTGGATGCAAAGTGTAGGAGGATAGTGCTGGGTAATGAAGTGGTGCGTGGGGACCTGGAAGGAAGCAGGCAGTGCTTTCAAACCATAGGCAGTTAGTGAAGACTCTGGTAGCCCTGTTCTGTACTGCAGCCTTGGAGTGGCTTCGGGCCCTTCAGAGGGACCTCCTGGCGCCGTCGCAATACATACAGCTGCACCATTCACGTCCAACATCAGGGATGCTAAAAGATAGTAATAAAAGAATGGTGAAAATTACCTGTGGTTCTGTAACAGTGACAGTGTTTTCTGCAAATCCTTCTACTTTTCCCTAACATAGAGTCATGTAGATGTGGATTTTCTCTCAAAAATAGATTAATCTTTGCTTTAAAAAAATGAATACTCTTTGCTAATCCTCCTTACTTGGCACAAGACATCACACATAGGGAGAAAAGTCATTGCTACGGCTCTCTGGTGTTCCATTATTGGAGTGTAATAGAAGTTGCCAGTGTTGTCTCCTTGTCCGTGTTCCGGTCTGTTCGGAAGCTCTGGGACATGCCTGTATCTGCGAAGGAGCTGCACCTGCATGCGTATGCTTCAGAATTGGATCTGTGTGCGGGGTGTACTGAGATTATGCCCCAACACCACTGGTGGATTTAACCAGCTTTCTTGTTTTGGCAATTTCAACTGAAAAATGGAATTATTTACTTTGCCATGTAAAGACTT